TCACACATATACACATAAAAATACATATGTAAATCTTTTACGTATGAGTAAACAGTGTGCATATGAGAGCCTCCTTTTCAGTGAGACTGCTAAAGCTGAATACACTAAATAATATAAAACTCCTAGGCTACTCCAGCACAGTAGCACTTGTATGTGTTTGTTGAAATGGTGGACAAAGACAACAAAGACAAGCACAAAAATAATCCCTCGCTTGAAACCCAGAACTCACTGCTCAGTACGAGTTTTGATATATATAAGAAGATAACTTTCAGATACCTGAAAAATATGCCAGAATGGATCAGGCAACTAGATTGTAATCTCTAATCCATTAATACATTTACTTACTCTCCACATGATGCAATGAATTCCATTGATATAGCAAATACTAAAGTGTATTTATTCATAAGCAGTGACTCTTTCTTTCAAGTTGCTGGTTCATCAGATACCACAATCCCAGGTTCTTTCTTTCTTCATAGAGGACTTCGAGTGTTCAGACTTTCCTGTTCTCTCTCCTTTGTCATCTGCAACAAATTCTCCCCTCCTGCCTGTCACCACCAAGCCTGACCAGCTCACTGAGCTATTCTCCGCCCACACTTGGCCCAGCTCTACCAAGACCACTTAACCCACTGAGCATTTCCTCAATAACGACTTAAATTCCTATGTGCTTTCTGTTAGACCTTATTTTGTTTAGAAATACCCACAAAATATTGCATAAACAAACATTAGAAGAAGGCCAAGTGTGCCTCACCTAGCTGATGACATCATAGTCAATGTGTGTACAGTCTGTAAAGGGAAACCAGCAGACAGCAGGTCTTCCTCGGATTTTACAATTGTTTTGCATATAGCCCATGTCTTTTATAACTTTAAATTTATGTAGCTTATATATTTGATTGTAGAATATGCTGGCTGGTTTCCTTTTCTAAAACTCATGAGATTTGTTCCACATAACTAGGAGAATGTCTGATGCTGATATTGATGACAATGTTTCTTGTATCAATAACTATTCTAAAATGTTTCATACAAGTTGTTTAATCCTCACATCAACCCTCTGAGGCTGATTACAATTAGAGAACTTTAA